AGGACACAGTGACTCCTCTGTAGCTGGGGGGTATGACAGTTTGGGGCGGGAGAGCACCCAGGAGCCAGGCAGCAGCCCAGGAGCAGGCAGGAAAGGATGGAGCTGGAGGAAAAAGGCAGGAGGACGTGTCACTGCCTCTCACTTGGCCCTGGGCCTGATCCTGGGACTGGCTGAGGAACAGCAGCTTCCTCTGCTCTGCCTGAGACTCAGAGCCACCACTCAGAGCCCCTTCCCTGGGCCTCTCCTGATGGCTTTCTCCTGCTGCAGGCATCTGCTGTTCTGAGTGTGAAGGACAATTTGGGAGAGTCTGATCTTACATTCCTCATGCCTGAGGCCTCTCAGATAGCTGCAGCCAGTACTGTCACTTTAAAATGCAAACCAGACAAAATCTGCCTGAGTTTGCTAAAGGCTGAAGCATCTCAGTTGTTTCCTGAAATGCTGTGTTGGTTTTCCTCTGCCTGGTTTTTGGTAGCAGGGGGGTCACAGAGATGGCTTCTGTGAGAAGGTGCTAGAAGCTTCCCCTTATGGCTCTGACCCACTCCCTAATGGCTCTGAAGATGAACATGCTGCTAGCCAAGGCTGGGCCAATAGAGCTGTTGGTAACATCTCTGTGATAACATATTTAAGAAGATCAGAGCAAAGTGAGGGACACAGCTTTTTCCTAGCCAGAGAAGGAGGTGCAAACGTGAAGGAAACAACATAGACCAAGGTCAGTGGAGAAGGAGGGGGAGGAGGTGCTCCAGGTGCTGGAGCCAAGATTCCTCTGCAGGCCAAGGATGATGACCATGGTGAAGCAGCTGTGCCCCTGCAGCCTGTGGGGATCCACAGGGGTGTAAAGATCCGCCCACAGCCCATGTGAGAGATGCTCACGCCAGAGCAGGTGGATGCCTGGAGGAGGCTGTGAGCTCTTGGGAGACCTGGTGGAGAGAGGGGGTCTTTGGAGGGCTGCAGCCCATGGAAGAGTGACTCACACTGCAGCAGTTTGGGGAGGACTGCTGCTCACGAGAGTGGGCCCATGTGGGAGAAGTTCAAGGAGAACTGCCTCCCCTGGGAGGGACTCCATGGTCTCACAGAGGAACAACTTCTCTCCCTGAGCAGCAGAAGAAAATTTTGAGTGACAAACTGACCAAAACTCCCATGCCCTGTTTCCCTGCACTGTCGGTGGGAAGGGTTGGTGGAAGAAAAGGTGTTTTTAAGGACCTATTTTACTTCTCATTATTCTCCTCTGATTTTGTTAGGAATAAATTCACTTCATACCTCTAAGCCAAGCCTACTTTGCCCTTGGAGTGTTTTCTCAGAGTCTTTATCTCAACTCAAGAAGCCTTTGTTAATTTTCTCTCTCCTTTGCCCAGCTGTGGCAGGAGAGGGTGAGTGAGCTACTTTTCTGGGTGCCTGGCATTTGGCCAGCATCAAACCACAACAGATGCTAATGCTGGAGGCCAGAGATGCTGGTGGTTCCACTGCTTACTGACTTTGCAGTATTTTCTGTGTCCTGCTCACCGAAACAAGCACGAGGAGCCCAGGAGTCTGGGGATAGGGAGCTGCAGGTGAAGCAAGAGGATTTCACAGATCCATGGAAAGTGCGTCATGGTGGTGGTAGCTTTCGTGCAGACTGAGGAGGGAACACAGGTGGAGCACCCTTCTCGCTAATAAACAGCTAAAATGCTCATGCCTTTACTTGAAAAGTCATCATGTTTGATGAGCCAGCACAGCACAGCCTCCCTTGGCAGCTGGGTTTCCCAGGATGGGTGCAGGTGATCACTGGACTGTGCAGGCTCCAAGATTTTGTGCTGGGAGCAGCAGGAAGAAATGACAGGGAAGGAGGCACCAGTGTCCATTGCAGCATTGGAACAAGCTGGGAATGTAGCTCAGCTCCTGGGCTGAGCTGTGGGCCCAGGGCAAGCAAAATCCCAGCTGGGCTCTGCACCTTCTCCACCAGCATGTGGAAGCATGCTGGAACAGTGCCACCCACCTGCCCATCTTCTCCAGCCTGGAGCAGTCCCCTCAGACTCTTTGCTTAGCCCCACCTGTGGGATGTAATTGCTCCTTAGGGAAAATTTTGGGGAATCTGAGCTGTAATTGCTCAAAGTATCAGCTTCCCTTTGGGTCAGGGTGGAGCCCAGGCTGTGCCACCCCAGCGGACGTGCCAGTGCACCATTGAACCAACCCTCTCCTTTTGCTGCCACCAGGAAATTCCCCAGAGTAGCAAGAGTGGAAAAATGTAGTCATAGTAGTGTAATTCAGTTGGTCAAATAAATAACCTGTGTGGGAATCTAGGGTGATTTTTTACTCTGTAATATTGCCAAAGAAGAATTGTTGTTACAAGATTTTATTTTTAAGTACTTTTCTTGAGCACCTCCCATGAATTTTTCACTCCTTCTGAAGTTCAGTTCCTCCTCCAGTAAAATGCTCCATTTTTTCCCCTACAGCTCCTGTACTGTACTGTATTCCTGATTGACAGGGGTCAGTCTAACCTGATGACCTAATCTTTCAAAGCCTCTCACATGTTTTTATTAATAATTTCTCAGAAAAAAAAACCAAAAACAATGTTTTTGGCTAGTGGTGTTTGGTTTAGGTAGATCTTGTCCTGGGCTGAGGCCTCTCGTGCTCCAGGTTTTAAGGCACGACTTGTAGTTTAAAGACATACTGCCCCTAGGATTTGACCTTCTTCAGGCAAGGGCTCTGTCCTGGCAGGATGTGATCTGTGGAGGAGGATCACACCATTAATATTAACAGCCTGCTTCCGCATGGATTAGTGGGATGGTTGAACACGCTTCCGGTAGCTGCATTGCCTTGGGTCTCAGAACCCAGGAAGGTGCAAGTGTGGATGTGTTCTACCCAGCATGAGACCCCTGAACCTGGTAAACTGCAAAGGAGCTGGGATCCCACGAGTGTTACACCTGCCTTTGCAGTCATCTTCTGCTCCTCATCCCCATCCCTAACCCTCCCCTCTGGGGCTCCACTCTGTGTAACAATGAAAGGGGTTTGAAATGCATAAACACACAGAAAAATAAACTTTTTCAAAATTAACACATCCACACCTGAGTTTGCCCTGAGGGCTTATCCCGAAACAAGGTGTACTTCTTGATCTCTCCATTCAATGTAAATCTGTGCCAGTTGCTGGTGCAAATTGTCCAGGGCTCCTTGCCAGCATTTGAACTGATGCCAAGGAGCAGTCCGGATGGCTGGCAGGAGGAGTCCCGGCTTGTCTGCAGGTGCATATTCCTGCTGCTCAGCAAGGTGTTGGCTGCCTTGGGAGGGGAAGAAGGTGCATGAAGGAAAAAGGTCCCACTGCTGAAGACCTCGTGGACTGGATCATTATCTGGTAAAAACTGGAGCTGCTGGATGGAGGGTGTGATGTGTTGGTGAAGGGTCTGGCTGCCTGCCCTCCCCCAGGCTCCTGGGAGAAGGGGTTGCTGAAGAACATCTCATCCATGCTGTGGGGCTGGTCTGGCCCTGCATAACCCCAGTCCTTGGGCACTGAGGTCTTCTCTGCTATGGGTTGATCCCTATCAGCTGTGGAGAAGAGGGATGGGAGGGAGCAGTGTTTGGGATGTGGCTTTGCCACTATCTACTTATACTCGGCATTATGGTGTTTATAATACCCTGCCGAGCTCCAGGGATACGTGGGTGGGTTTGGATGTAGTTTGCTGGTGAACACACCAGCTCTTACCACAGAGTCTGAATCCACATGGCTGCTGCATGGGTGTCCCCACTCCCACCCCCAGGGAAGCAGTCTGCCACAGGCCAGAGCTCCACACTGGGCTGTGCCAGGACTTGTTCTGCAGCCTCACCGACGCCAGGGTGGTGGTGACCAACTGCAAGTACCTCCCCCTTAAAACCAAGTGCTTGGGGTTTTCAAAGGCTCTCTGCACTGTTGAAAGAATTTAACTATAAGGCCTCATGCCAGGTGCATGAATAGTCTGTGAACTATAGGTCTGGAGACATTCAAAAGATCCAGCTGGGTTCAGGAATAGCACAATTTATTGAATGTAACATATATGGTTCTTTTGGATTGCCCATGATAAATGCCTGATCTGCAGAGTGGTTTTATAGAGCACTAACAATGCAATGGCAATCACAGTTTTAATTTCCCAGGTTAAGGCTCAGCATATCTGAGGACACAAGTCTTACCAAAAGATGACCCTTGTGGGGCAGGAGAGGAGGACAAATCTGTCAATCTGTTCCTGGAATTTCAAGTAAAATTCTTGTCTGCCAGTTAGATATGGAACTGGGGGGCTTTTACACCTTATTAACCACTATAGTGCAAAGTGCTGCCAACTGTGATCAAATCTTCCGTTATTTGTGGGTGTGTTGTACAGAATATTTCTTGGTAGGAGGTTTTGGTTTGCCAGAACTTTTCTGGGTATGAGGTAGAAAAACTAGACCACATGGCATCAACTCCACATTCACCCCCATGCCATGGCAACACAAACCACAGGAGCTACATCCGGTTTCTATGCTTGCACTGTGAGTCCCATTCCATGTCCAGCTTTGCATTTTCTTCACTGCTTTTTGCTTCCACCTGCACACAGGATGTCATGGGGCTGAGCCAGAGCATTGCACAGCGCAGTGGAGTGTCTTTGGGTTTGCAGCACCAGGGCAGAATGGCCATGAGGAAGAATCAGAGGCAAAGAATTTCCTCTTTTCCTGAAATCAATATTTAAACTTTTTTCTTTATTTTTTTTTTTTCTTTTTTTTTTTTTTTTTTTTCCTGTGTTAAGGAAAGAAAACCCAAAT